ACCAAATTGAATTAACCTAATTGACCCCATAACAAGTGCGCTCAATAGAATTACTTCTTAAAAGTTTTTATAGAAATATAATAAAAGGTATAAGACAACAATAGCTTTTATAGCAAACTAATAAACGGAAAAAGGACAATAATATCACCAGCTTTGGGAACTTGGACCAGTAGGATTCAAAAGGAAAAGAGAATTGGAAGTCCTTGGTCAATAACCATAACCCATGTATAATGGAAATTCAAATCTCACCAGCAGGCATGACTGTCAGGTAATTAACATGAAAGAACAAATGGGACACGACAAATGGTTGTTAACTGAACGACCACAAGGAAGAAAAACCAAAGAGAGAAATCAATGCAAAAAACTTCCAGTATTCCAGGCGCACCCAGTAGCGATGCATCTTCAGATAGAAGACTGGAAACTGTGACATCCTTGCATACTAAGAATGGTTAAATACAAAGATCCCTGTCCTCTACAATTTTAACAGTTAATATAAGAAGAAACAATTCTTAAAACACCACAAAAAACAGATGTGTATGCAGAGTCTTGATACTTACTTGAACAAACGAATCGTGCATTTTGAGCTCTTCAAGAACGCTCTTCCTCAGTTCGCTAATACCAACCTTTGCATCATCATCATCTGCACACTTTTCAGCCATTTCGTACCTAAGTATCATTTTCTTTACCAATATCAAAAATCCTAGCAATTTTTCCGCCTATAACTCTATGATAAAAGTGTTTTGACTTAAAATCCAAAAACACAAAAAACTGTACCCATAGGGAAATAGGTTTGTATTTGGCAGCATGTTGGTATCTCAAAATTGAAACTAGAATGACTCCACTTGATTTAACTCGATTTTCAAATTCCGATGTAAATGCGACAATAATTTGCTCTACATTAGAAAGAAGGAATCTTCCAAACTACCGTTGTCTCATAAGGTTGGACTGCCATGTCGAAAGACATGTGCATCTCATGTGCCATGTATCTTAATTTAGTCATCTGCTTGCAAATAATTAAGCAAATGATTAGTTTACTAGTGTCACTTTTGCTACTCTTGCTGCAAATTGATTCTCTTAGCATCCGGAATGTAACACCTATCATTATGTTTATGAAGGCAATGAGCAATTACTAAAAAATGAAAGAAGTGTGGAGATATGGTTACTACTGAGAAAATAACAAGATCAAGACACAGGGGCAATGTGCAGGTTAGCAGTCAAAACATGGGAAGGGGGTTGAGAAATAGCACACATCATAACTTTGGGAGGAGGTTAATGTAATGTGCTCGAATTATGAGATTAGAGTTTGAATATTATTTCGTGCAGAAACCACTCCAAGCTTGCTTACCCAAAGAGGATAACAATGTAGTCCACTATTAAGACAAAAGTCCAAAACCGTTGGTAGTATATTGTGGTACTGACAGATAGATTCTGTTAAAGAATCTTTGCCATTAAATGGCCCATATCTATGGTGGGGTCTGTAATGAGATTGTATTCCTTTTACCTATTCACGCTGATTGATGGACTGGACCGACTGGTGAATAAATTTATCCCAATTTTAGGAAAATAGAGGTAAAGTTCAATAGTAGTACAGACTTGAACATAATCTCTATCTTTTTTTTTTTCCATTTAATTTTCTTCACATAAAAAAATTCAAATCCAAAGAGAATAAGAAATATCTGTTGCAAATCATTTTTAACCCTTAGCACTATGAGATTATTACACGTGCAATCAGGTTGAGCTCCACACTACAGAGTTAGTAGATAAGTTTTGCCAATTGGCTCAAGTTCAGCCATCAAATACAGGGTTAACTATTTCAATGAATATCAGGACTGCAGAACTTCCAACATTTTTTCACATATGCTAGGGATAAATGAATAGATCTAAAAGAACAAGTAACATTATGAATGAATATATCATAAACAAACAGTGCACGAATAGTCCTTCCCAAGAGTGACCTTATTATTGTGTTGTTAATTGTTATCACTATTCATTGATCCTCCCGCCTAACACACAGTTCATAAACTTTATCTATTGAGTAAACCACATCAATTCTTAGAATGAGATAAATAGAAGAAAGCCATTTCGCACACTCCTGAACTCAAATAGACTCCGAAACACCATTCTGGAAAATAGATGAAAATGTCAATAAAACCTAACATTTCTCAATGTCGCAGAACAAAACTACTGATCAATGTCATCGGGGAAATAAGAATAACAAAAAGAAATGGAAAATCAAGGTAATTATAGTACTGAAATAGAACTAATCTATGTTATCGACAAGAAATTTTTTTTTTTAAAAATGAGGATATAATAGAAATGAACTATTAATATATCTTATGGACGAAATACAATAACAAAAATAATAAAAAGAATTAAAGAAAATCAAGGTAATGACAGTAATAAAAAGAATTAAAGAAAATCAAGTCTGCAATGGAATCGCTTTCCTAATCTATCCTATCGAGGAAATAAAATAACAACAGAATGACGAGAAAAAAAATATAATAACTCAAGGTAATGAACGTACTGTAACAGAACAGAACTACTAATCTATGTCATCGAGAAAATACGAATAACCAAAAAAAAAAAAAAAGATTATCATATAATGATGGTAATGTAATAGAACAGAACTACTAATCAATAATATCGAGGAAATAAGAATAACAAATCAAGGTAATGACGGTTACTAACGCTTTCGCAAAGGCGCGGAGGAAGTGAACGTCCTGTGCAATGTAATGGCGAAAAGCATTGAGTTCAAGATTTCCAGAAGCCAAACAGACTATAAACGGAGTGTAGAGAGCCTGAGTCCCTTCCTTTCTGGACTTGATCCAAAACCTCCTTCCTATACCTTCCTCTATCGGTTGCAGCAACTTTCCGGTTGCCGACTTTGCCATTTGAATTTCACTGAAATTACCGGTGCTTGACGGCGATTCCACAAAACGAGAAAAGGGTTTTGAGAATGATCTGAAATGAGAAGTGAGAGCTGTTGCATCAAATTGAATCAATTTTCTTTGATTGATTTGAATCTAGTGGTGGCGGTGGAAGAGTGGTGGAGGAGAGCAGCGGAAGGTAGGTGTATATTTTTACTATTACTGCAAGAGTGTGTAAAAGATGTGTAAAATGGAGATTATTGTTTGGTCACGTTTTAAAGAATACGGCGCGGAGTCCGAAAATAAGTTAATGGCAGCCGGAATTTTAACGAATTCTGTTTATTCGTTTCCCTCTGTTTTTAGTAAAATAACAGTAGAGGTCCTCAACTTATAAGTTATTTTGTATTTTAATCCCCAACTTTTAGAAATGGAGTATTTTAATCCAAAATCATCTGAGTTTTTTTGCACTCGGGACCTCAGTTAAAATGGTGTGTAAAAACGAGTTCTCTCTCTCTCTCTCTCTCTCTCTCTCTCTCTCACTTAAATTATACGGTAGAATCCTTAGCAGAGTTTTCAAAAATTGTTAGTAAAATTTGTAAGAATTGAAATCGATCGTTAAAGTATTTTTCTTACTCTATTAGTAATTAATGTTTTTAACAATTTCACAAAATGGTCACTTCAATAAAAAAAAACAACAAACGTATAATCTTACATGTTGCCGGTAATTGTTAGTTAGTTACAATGGACTAAACAATGTTAATTCACTTGGCCAAACTCAATTAACACAGCTACTACAATAGTTAAGAGTTAGGGTATCAAAATAACCCTGGTTTGTCTACACATCAAAATTAACAGCAACATGTCGAGTATGCTTTTTGAAGAAATTTGCATTTTCTTCTCCAACCTTTGCAATCCGTTACAAATCTATCATCGCCTTTTTTGACACCAAACAGCACAACCTTTCACTTAATTTTATTAAGTCACATTTTCATTAATAGATACCGTGAGAAAATGTCCTTATCTCACACATGTACACCCCACACATTATTTTACTTCTCCCACCACATCCAAGATTGAGTCCCTGTTTGAGTCATATTAAAATTTTCATTTTCATTTTTCTATTCATTTTTAACCATACATTCTTTAATAAAATAATATTTTTCATCACATCAATAATTTTTCCTTCTTTTTCAACTATACATTTTCCATCAATCTACTATTCCAAAATACATTTTTTCAAAATAATGTGGTTCAAACATACTCTGAAAGGAACCATTGGTCCATCAACAAAAAGCTCCTCTCATGTTCTCTTCAATGTTTATTTTTTATGTTTTTATCACTTTGATATCTATTTTTCACCTTGTTCGCGTCTTGTTCTTCTTCACCCTCTCTTTTTTGATAGTCGTAATATTGAATGAAGGATATGCAGAAGTGGACATCAAATGGGCAAAAGACATCGTGAATGGATGCGAACCCAACTAGATGATTCTTTGCTTGTGAGGTGAATGCAGTGCTTCATACCATGATAATTTCACACGATTTAAGTACTTAAAACACTATTTTTTTCTTATAAAATCATTGTGGTGCTTTGCTTGGTATGACCCTCCTATTTGTTACCGTCGAAGCAAGTGATTTCTTGGATTGCTGAATTCTAAGCAAAGAGATGATAGATTAATGCTTGAAATGAGTGAAGTAAATAATGCGCACGCGTCAAATTGGGTTTCAAAAGTGAAAGGATGCTTTTTATGGATGGACTAGTATGCCTCTTCCGATCTCAAACACAGCGTAAAAAGTTAAATAATGAGCTATGTGTATTTTCACATATTTTATCAAGGGCCCTACTAGAGAAATAGGACCACGTCGGCCCTGTTCATCCAAGGCGTCGATGTGGTCCCCCTGTTTGAACAGGGTCTATATGGCCCTCTTCAAACAGCTTTTCTCTTTTATCAATAGGGGTGTGATTTGTAATTAAGTGAAATGTTGGAGACCTATAGTGCTAAAATAAAAGTTAATGATATTTTAGTAACAGAATACAAAGACTGAGAATAAAAGTGCAAATTTCCCTACCGTTTGTGAAACCAGTGAAATTAACTTATCTTTAGCATCCAATTGTTATACAGCTTGCAAGTGGTAATGCTGAACTTCAATGAACAGATAGGATTATGGGCCATTCCCGTTTCATATCCTTCTCTTTCGTCGCTTATATACACCCCAATCCCTGTAATGGCAACTCAACTAGTCCAGTTTATCCACCCATTCACCTTATCTTATCGTGATTATCATCATGGATTCAAAACCAGTAACAACAAGAAGGTTAATTGGCGCTGTTACACCGGCGGCCGGAGCGGCGGGTCCAATTGGGATTGGGAGAAGACTGTAAAGCCGAACCAAAGGTCCAGATTCGGCAACCAATATGCGACAGATGACTATGATGATGAGGAGTTTGGGTTCAGGAACGCCGCGAAGCAGAGGATTTGGTGGTCTGAAGAGTTTTACGAAGACGAGGAGGAAGGATTTGGGATTCTCGAAGGTTCCATTGGTTTTAATTGGATTTTCAAGGTAATAATTTTTTTTTAAAAAAAATTCTTTTTAGTCTGTGAGTTAGATTAGAGCATGCCTGGTTAAGCTTAAAAAATGAAGTAAACTCACTTATAAGTGATAAGTACTTTTAAAATAAAAACAATTTTTTTATTGGTGAAATTAAAAAATAAGCAAGTTTAGTTACTTCCTTTTGGCAGTAAGGGAGTTCATTGAGCTAATATGCCATATCAGTGTGGAGTTATGAAGTTAGATGCCAAGAAGGTAGATAGTAGTGGCTTTAAGGAGCAGACATGAGTACAATTGAGATCACGATTATAAGCGTCCGTTTGGCGCCATTATTTCACATTATATTGAGAGGAATAGTAATTTTTTTAAGAATGTGCAGTTTTAAAAGAAGTAAAAGTTTTTGGATTTACGTTTAATATTATTTTATTGGAGAATGTGGGGTTGATAAGAAGAGAGAAAAATGAATTATAATTTAATGGGGCCAAACGGGGGCTAAGTGTTATGCCATTTTCAATTGTGGATAGAAGCAAAGTTGAAGTTTTATGTTTTGGGGAACAATGAAAAGTGACTTGTGTAGTCTTTTCTTCTCACTTTATGCATGTGTAAAAACAAGAATACATTCCTTGAGCATGTCTTGTTGTGATTAAAAGTTATTTGTCCAGACTTACTTTTTAGAAAAGTAAGTTTTATTAGTAAATATATAGTAACTTCAAAAAGAGGCCAGACTTTCCTCTGATTACCCAATTGAAGCAGAAAGAAGCCAATAGGTAAGCTCCTCACATTACACTGCATTATTCAAAGCGATAAGGATCGGAGCAGTGCTCGATCCTCCATCTCTAAAGTAAGTTTTTGAACTAAGAAACCCCAAAAAAGTAACTTCTAAAAAGGGCCTAACATGTTTAGCAAAAAAATTGCTTAATACATAAAAGTTACTTTTAATCATGATTTGATCAATGGTTGTTTGTGGTTCCTCCTATATAAGGAGGGAACCCTAGGCTAATTCACTCAACACTCATATTTTCTCTCTTGCTTGCTCTCAAGGTTTCTTTCTTCTCTCACGGTAGTATACTACTTTGTGCGATTTTATTTGTGATTTCCTCCATTCTTTGTGAATGTTTCTGTTGTCTTCTTCGTGTTCAAGGGTTGAATATATCTTAGTGTTGGGACAGGATTTAGGCATTGGAGTTGAGGGTCAATTTTTGGTGAAATGTGGGCAAAACTGAGCCATTATTCTTTTGGATCCATGCTTGATGTCAAACGGACCTTATAGATTTGGGGCGATTTGTTTGGGAAATCTGTGGTTGAAAATTCAATTATTATGGGTAAATTGTGTGCGCAACCAAGAAGGATGTAAAGATTAGGATAGGCCTCCATATTGTTGGACATAAAGTTAGTAATGCATACTGATACACGTAATAATGGGCTTTCTTTCATGGGAGAAACACCCTTATAGTTTACTCCAAAACACACACCTATAAAATTGTTTAATCTTTTGTTTTAAGTTAGAAAAATTCGTAGAAATTCACAAATACTGAATTTACTAAAAAGTTACTTTATGACAATGGTTTGTATTTGACGATTTAGATTCGGCGTGTCACTAAAGTAGAAAGTTGAGTGTTGTTTATGGAGTTAAGCCCTTGTTTGGTAGGGATTAAAATAAGATTTTTGGTATATTTTGACAGAATTTGATGAAATGCGTGGTTGAAAAGTTGTGGAACTTATAAAATATGTGGTTAAAATTAATTATTGACTTTGACTTTGATTAAAATCTAGATTTGAATTAATACCAAACAAGGGCTAAATTAAAAAGTGAAACAATAGTTCAATTATGTTAGGGTTTGTCTTGACGCATTGCGTATAGACAATTGATATGTACCTAGGAACCTCTATTTTAGTCTTAGTTTTGTGCTGTGAATTGGTATTAGTGTTGGATTTTTAGATAATTGGAGACATATAGCATAGCTAATGTTAGTGTGACAACTATTTCATTTTCTATAACCTCTTGACCGAAATATAGCTAATCTATTTGTCCTTTGTAATGTGTTATTTATGTTTTCCTTTTTTTTCCGTCTTTGATTTACTTCAATCAATATGATGCTCTTCGAAGCTTAGAGCATATAGATGAGTTTAAATAAAAATGTGAAAATACATTTAAATAATTTTGTCTCCAAACAAGTTTGGTAACTTAACTTACTATTTCGTATTTTCAAGTAAAAAAAAGGTGTTTCTTTTGAAAGTAACTCTTACGATACTATCAAGTAAGTAACTTTTTTCCAATTTAGATCCATAAAAAATTATGTAATTACTTAAAAGCAATTTTACTTTTTAAGCTAAGCAAAATTCTCTTAGTGGCATGAGTCTGGCATCTCTGTAAGTAATTTTCTCACAATTTGTTTGTTTCGTCGCTCAATTTAAGTTATTCCATTTTATATTTAAAAAACATACACCTTCATAACCTATAGTCTCGTCTTGCGTGTGAAAATTTCACAAATTTCAGAAAGAGGAAATATTTTGATTAGGCGAATATATTATAGCAAACTACTATATAGAAATGTCTAGTTTGAGGTTAGATTTGCCCCAGTAATCCTACTTCTCTATCATTCTGTTGTTAATTAACAAGCTTTGGATTTATTGAGAACAAGGAACAGTTTCTCTTATGATTCGTTGATAATTTGATTACGACTCTTTTGTGGCAACTGACATCAGACAAGGTTTCATATACTGAATTTCTGAATATATATCATGGGAAAAGGCACTATTCTGCCCCAACCTATTGCCTAGCAAGTTGGTCATCAATACTTCAAAATAGTCTAACAAATTAGTCCTGAATGACGAAAACTATCCAAATCTACATTAAATTATCACATAACCCTCATGTCACCAACAATTTGAAGCAAGGTTTTGTTTCCTAAACATGGGAGGGTGCCCAGAAAGTTGGAGGCATGTTTTCATTACGCCATGTGACTATTCAACGAAGTTTGTTTCAGTTGTTAGGAAATGACTAACTCGGGCAATAGGTTGTCGACGGATGGTGCAAGTTTCCCTATATATCACTCATTCTGTTTGCATCATACGTCATAATTGAGTTGGCTCTAATGCAGGTATTCAGGGCCTTTGGTTGGATGCTTCCAGCTATCATCATTTCACTGCTTGTCGGAACAGGCCCCAATACTATCATCATGGCATTAGCCCTACCTCTTGCACAATCAGCACTTTCTTTAGCGGCAAATACATTGTGGGGAAGGTCTAGGGACACCTCGAGACCGAAATCTAAGGGCAAGAAGTGGACATACACTGGAGCTACTAGCAATAACAGAGTCGGAAAGGAGAAGCGAAAACATCCTCATACTAAGAGGAAGGAAGCATGGGATCATCGGTCATGGGCATCTGCAAGTAATGCGTCAGCCAAAAGCGGGAAGAGTGACCGACAAAATTTTGGTGGATGGGACGAGTTAGACGAGCAAACAGGAGTGCACAAAGTGTCTAATACAGCGCCAATTGTGAAGGCAAACGAACCAAGAATGCAAGATAAAGTTAATATGAGTCGGAGAACAAAGGGAGGTACTCCATTACTCGTGAGACTGCTGATTTCCGTATTCCCATTTTTGGGGTCTTGGACCAAGTTATTATGATAAATTCTTATGGCATGTTTGGTAAAAGGATGAACAGCATTAAAGGAAAAAAAAAGTTATAGCGCGCCGAACAAGCCTTTACTGTTCGTCATGCTTGCAGGGGGAATTTTTTTCCATTCATTGCAAGCAACCAGCTTTGATTGTTATTGTTAATTGTCCCGGACAGTTTCCATGCTCAGATACAAAGCGAAGCAGCTTTACATTCACGAATGGCATGCAGTGGAATAACTTTGCCCGTGTGACTTGTTTGATAGGGTGTAAGCTAAAATCTTGTCAACGTTTCTAGTTTCTAGTCTCGTCAAGTCCATTGTACCAAAACGTTCTTCTTGCCAGTTTTCTTGGTTCCAGCTGTACCATGATCGGAGTTGATGCTAGTAAATTCTGTTTCATAATGTGCGGTCATTTCATTTCCAAATTAATGAGGAAGTTCAGTTGTAAGTAATTATCTTTTATTAGAGGGAACTAGTAGTGTATAAATATTTTGTTTTCTCGATTTGTTAATAAATAAATGTAGTTGGGTTCTTGCTTTCTTTGGAATCACTCTGGCGTAAATCGGGGACAGTTTCAGAGGGGCCTGGACCAGCCGGATACATGTTTCTCTGTGACCCGTCTTGCCTCTTGGTCGAATTTATTATGTTAATACATTTTTTTATTCAAATAATTAGTTTGTTATTTGAGGCAACATAATTACTGCAAATTAATGTCTCAAATAAAAAGCTATCACATCTGATGAATGAATGGTTTTAATGGTTGTCATTGCTTTATTGTCTTCAATTGTTTCACCATTAGTTAAAATTCACGTTCTTTCAATCACACCGTAGTTGGAAAAAATATAAGAACAAAAGTTTAAGCAATTTAAAATGTTATATTTTATTAACGAGTAACGAGCCATTAGTCTACTCATTACGAAATAAAGAAACTTAAACAATGTTTCAAAATACAATTACAATATCAAGAAACTGAAAAGACTTGGGTGACATTTGGGAGCAAAGATTTTATGCCACCGAATGCATATTAATTTGTAGGGCAAAATCATGCCCTGCTTGAATCCAAAGCCATGATCGTATTGAGGTTCATGGGGTGCATATAAGTGTTTGAACCTGTCAAGATTTCTTCTACAATGAGTCTATTAGCCCTTTCAGAGGGATGAAAAGGGTCCCAAAACACATATTCATCTCTATTTGGGCACAAATTTGATAAAGGTGTGCAAAGGCCTACACCATTATAGGGTCCTTGTCCGCAACAAGCTATCTTTGATGTTTTAAATCCTGCATATCATGTAATTCGAAATCATTGGCATTATTGAAGGTCATCAAGAGCATGTTCGATATACAATACTGTAGAGGTTTAAAGAAATATCAGAAAGGTAAAAATTACTTTTTGTGCCGTTGGATCACATTAAATACTATTCTTTAACCTTTTCTTATGGGTCAATTTTAGTCTTCACTCTTGGAATGTTAGAATCTTCAAAACTAAATTCTTATAATCTTGATTGATCATTGTGAAAAAACAATTTTAAGAAATTATCCCTGAAACGTAAGACCTTGGTACAAGTGACTAATTATAT